CGAACGTTATTCGCAATCATATTGACGACATGTTCTCCATCCGATCCGCAACATCTATGGGAAAAGTACAAAGATCACATGAGCGATGACATTTTGCATCGACAAAGAATCTCCAATGATGATATGAATTTACAGTTTACATCATGCATGTACAACGAAGCTTTGATTTTAGTTGAAGATATTAGCATCTCCATTGCAAATAAGGGCCTTGGTCAATTGGGTATAAATGCTCCGGATCGCGGTTCACAAGCGGTGGCAGATAGTGATCTCCATCGAGAAACAGCTTTCAATGTCGGAAGCTTGAATACATTTCTGGAAACAAATTTATCAAAATTGCTTCCAGAACAACATCACGCTTACGACACGATAATGAGAGCAGTTGCAAACGACAGCGGTGGATTGTTTTTCATTTATGCCCCAGGAGGAACCGGCAAAACATTTTTAATCTCTCTGATTTTGGCAACGATTCGGTCTCAAAGAGAAATTGCTGTGGCTATCGCATCATCAGCAATTGCGGCGACATTGCTGGACGGAGGTCGAACCGCTCATTCAGCGTTAAAGTTACCGTTCAATTTGCACTGACCGAGACGCCGACATGCAAAATTACGAAGAATTCAGGGATGGGAAGAATTCTCAAAACCTGCAAATTAATTATATGGGATGAATGTACCATGGCCCACAAAAAAGCTTTGGAAGCCTTGGACCGTACAATGAAAGATCTTCGCGATAACCGAAATGCCTTCGGCGGTGGATTAATCATCTTATCAGGGGATTTCCGTCAAACATTACCTGTTATTCCGCGCGCAACCCCCGCGGATGAACTGAATGCGTGTCTCAAATCTTCTTATTTATGGCCAAATGTAAAAAAACTGTCACTTAAAACAAATATGCGCGTCATCTTACAAAGCGATCCATCCGCGGAACGTTTCGCGAAACAATTATTACAAATCGGTAATGGAGAAATTGGCCCAGAGCCATCATCCCGCAATATTGTTTTACCCACCGACTTCTGTAATAGCGTTACATCGGACAATGCGTTAATCGATAGTGTTTTCCCCCTACTTATACAAAATTATAACGATCATCGATGGTTAAGTGAAAGAGCGATTTTAGCACCCACCAATATCGATGTTGATGCCATTAACAGGGCAATACAAAATCGGATCCCCGGGGACATCATGTCTTATAAATCCATTGATACAGTGTTGAATCAGGATGAAGCTGTAGAATACCCCACAGAATTCTTGAATTCCCTTGATTTACCCGGAATGCCACCGCATGATCTTAAATTGAAAATCGGAGTACCAATCATAATTCTCCGGAATATAAATCCACCGCGACTCTGCAACGGAACGAGATTGTCGGTGAAACAATTGATGAATAATATAATCGAAGGAACTATCTTAAATGGAAAATTCAAGGGGGAACAAGTTCTCCTACCGCGCATTCCCTTGATACCATCTGATTTGCCCTTTGAATTCAAACGATTACAATTTCCGGTACGTCTAGCGTTTGCAATGACCATTAACAAAGCACAGGGACAATCGTTGCAAATTTGTGGTGTGAATTTATTGAATCCCTGTTTCTCTCACGGACAGCTGTATGTTGCATGCTCCCGTGTCGGAAAACCGCAAGATTTATATATTCTCGCTTCGGGAGGGAAAACAACAAACATAGTATATCCACAAGCTCTCGAATAATTTTCTCAGTCCACTCACTTTTACTTCTCGATACCAACAACGATTTTGTCGAAGGATTCGGCATGACGTTCCGATCAATTCGCGCGGAGCAACACAGTTGACGTTCCGAATTCCCTGCGCGTCAGTGATTCGGAGGTTACTATAACGCCCTCTATAAATAAACATTACGGTGCCTGTCATCGGCTATTAGTGAGGGTTCGAAAACAGTGAAGCGCGAGACCATGGAGGAAATGGCTAATGAATGGAAATTGCAGCCTCAAATGAAGCAGAGAACTATCGTTACAGCCATCGTTAAAATCCTGATGACAACCTTCACGAAGTAAGATTCCGAATGACATTTTTTTATAAGTTTTTGGTGCATCTTCAGAAAACTCGCGCGCTTCGAATACGAAAGACAAATCCTACGATATTGACGCCAGCAGTAACGATCGATTCACTTCACGCCTGAAGAAGGACGAAGGGAGTTCACACACGCGTGGAGCATTTGCTTGACACAGGTGTGAATCATTCTTATCGAAAGAGATCTGGACAACGTGAAGGTATCTTGGTATGTCGCGACAAGAAAGGAATGCTCAGGCTAGCAAACGCAAACAAGGTTGGTTTACCCTAAATTTCTCAGAGCTTAAATACAAAGCATTCATTTTGGGTCATCGTTGATCCAAACATGATTTGCGGTCCATTCCATCCCATTCCATCCAAGTAATTATTGACGCAATCGTTATCTAGCTGAGAGCCATCATGAAGTTCCCCTCAAGACACCCAAACTTATTGGCCTGTTAACGACGGAAAAAGCAGGAGGCGTTATCCATGGAAGAGTAAAATCAAAGACGCCGATACGCACGTGGCAAAAGGACACCAATGAAGGGAAATTATTTTCGTTCGTCTTGGCAGATTCCTCCGGCGAAATAAGTGTGATTGTGGCCGATGCTTTGGTTGACAAGTATTTCGAGCAAATTCATGTGGGCCAATGCTATCAGATCATGGGTTTTAAAACGAAAGTGGGGAATCAAAAATTCCGCGTCACAGATCATTCCTGTGAACTCCAATTGCAAAACGTAACTATTCAAGCCTTCAATATTTCTTTCTCAATCACAAAAATCCTGAAATATCCAATCCAAGAAGAATAACAATTATCAAACACTAAATATTGATATTTACGCTAATTTCAGTTGAGTTCTGTGATTCCGATTACCGGTGACACCCTCCCAGCCAATTCGACTAATTTTTTGACGATTCAAGAATTGTCCTACGCTCCTATGAACAAGCCGATTGATTTAACGGGAGTAATCTACGAGGTCGGGGATTCCCAAAAATTTTGTTGCAAGGATGGTGTGAGTCGGGCAAAAAGGAATGTTCGAATCGTTGATGATACTAATCATATTATCACCCTGGGTCTTTGGTCGGAACACTCCGACAAACTAAAAAACGCTGAGGGAAAATGCCTAACCATTCGAAAAGGGTCTGGGCGAAATCTGCCCTCCGAAGCCGATCTGATCGAGTGGGGTCTCATTTTGAAGGTAATTTCGAGAGGAACATTTTCCGCATGGTCCCGGATCCGATCGCACCTCGTGGTCCCCGTAAACGACCGAAGAAGTTTTTTCTTCAACCCCTTCTATCTCGAGAACGGCTATAGCTACAGAGTCGTGCGATAGCGCGATCGGAAGCTCTCGACGAGAGCTTTCGTTTGAGACCCCTCTCGACCGAATCGGCCTCCTCTAAGGCTTTGAAAATCGGGAACCCAGTTTTCTAATACTCCGTTCTAGTACTTCTACACGAGACGCACCTTTGATACTATGTCAGATAGAAGTCCCAAGTGTCCCCCGACCATTAGCCATCAAACCGGGAAATCGAAGGGGTGCATCTTGCCTTAAAAACTTATCTTTTCCCCGGCTAAAACCCGTATTTTTACGGAATTTTCCCGATTCGCCTCTTTTTTGCCCGATTACTCCGAAATGAGCGCCGGGAGCCCGTTTCTGAGCTCG